GAGCGGTGTGTTATGTCTGATCACTGCCATCTGCTGCAGCACCTCCTGCACTTCGTATCTCTTCACACCTGCAGTGACCCATTTCCAGCTTCAGTCCTGAGCATGGAAGCACTGCCCAGGTACCCACCACAACCACTGGATTCCCTGGGTACATTGAGTCCTCGAGGCAGTCTCAGAGTCTGCCATTGGCAGTGCAGTGCCCAGACCTAATGACTGCAGTCTGTGGCTCTTCAGGAAAGTTTGTGAAGGCCCCAGCAATAATCAGGCAGAGCTGCTGAAACTTGAGAGGACTTGTTCGTAAGGAAGGGCACTGAAGTTTCATCACATTTTTGTTTGTCTCTAGATCCCAGGTCATTGCTATACATGAAGGAGAGCAACTTCATCCTCTCCTGATTGTTCTGGTGGGCAGCCCAGCACTCTTCCCATCACCAGATCAACTTGGGCTGCAGAGCAGAGTGCCTGTGTGTGCCTTAGCAAGGCTTTCCTCTAGTTCATGCTCTGCTGTCTGGAGCATTGGGGCAGGTTCATTTCACTGTGTGCTGGTGTGCCCAGGCTGTAGATGTTGCCACCTTGGCTGATCAGCTGGGATCACCTTTATAATCAGAGGAGAAGTTGTCATTGGTACCCAGTGAGTTCAGGAGAGGATGGATCTTATACTAAAAGAGGCATCTAGCTCTGCCTGGGTGACTGAATCACATTTTTTAAGCCTGTTGTGCACCACTGAGTATAAAAGGAGCCCCCAGGGGCCACTTTGAAGAGAGACATTACTAATAGAGACGTCCAAAATGAGTTGAGGAGAGTCTAGCTGTGATGAGTAAAGGACTTGTTTTGTCTTTGTTTTTATTCCATCCCTCTGTTCAGACTGGTCATCATTCTCTCTTTCTCCTTCCTCTCCACCTCGCCTCATTGTTGCTTTATTGTTGCTTCACAACTGCTTCACAGCTTAATTAAGAGCACATTTACAGAGAAGTTTTTGGGGCACAGGAGGAGAAAGAACATGGATACAGAGTTACTGATCTTAACTGCATTTCCTCAAAAAGTCCCATCAGATTGGCAGACAAAGTGTTTAGCCCAGTTACAGAGAGAGAAATGAACACAAAGACCCCTGGGCAGTGAGTATCTTTGCAGCCACAGGAAGGAACAATATTTGGTTACATTCCAGAAAGTTGGGTATTTTTGTTTCCAGTCTGAGGCAGCAGCAGGCAGCCTGGGAGGAGCCTGGCCCTCTCTGCAGTGGGAAGAGAGCAGATATGAAGATAGTGATAAGTTCCTTAGATACAGGGGAGTTGAGCATAGCTTGAAAGACAAAATACTTAACAGGAAAGAAAAGAGAAGCCACCTGTGGTGCAGAAAGAGACAGTGAAACAAAAGCAGGATAAATGGTGTCACACTTGCTTTTATTTCAAAGCAAGGGAGTTGCACAAGTTAGCGGCACAAGGAACTTCTGTTCTTCCTGTCGTGCAGCTTCAGTTGGTTGGGAGACATTTCTCCAGGTGTGCTGATGGCATCAGTGTCACTGATGCACAGAAAAAGCCACTGTCATTTCAGCCACATTTTGGGAGGCGATAGGTTGCAAATCCAAAGGCAACCTGGTCTACTGAGAGGTGTCCCTACCCATGCAGGGGGCTTGGGACTAGATGATCTTTGAGGTGCCTTCCAACCCAAACCATTCTGTGATCTCACTGAAAACTGGATAAAAGCTACAGAGAATGGAGTGGGTTGGTGTCACCTCAGTTAAGGGAACTATAAACAAATGCTGAATGGATGGGCACTGTTTCCCCTTGTTTGTGCTTGAAGGATTTTTATCTTGTGCTTCTAACACCTCCCTGTCTCTTGCCCCACAGCTGACAACGAGAACAATATTGCCTCTAGCCAGCCCAGATCACCTCTAGCTGGTGTTGAAGAGAAGTGGAAACCACAGCTCCAAAGAAATAACACCAACAATAGTACGTAGCATTGTTTGCTCTTCTATCCCAGGCTCACCTGTCTGTTTGGAGCACGTGACTGTCAGAGAGGGCTCAGCAGTGGTGGACACTGCACAAGGCCCTGTCCTCACCCAACTTGTTTTCATCCTTGATTTTCATCCATAACTGATGTACTGTCCTGCAGAGCAGAGCACCCATTCCCATTACAGGAGCACTCAATGCTTAACATACTGGGAACCCTGGGGAGGCAGGGTGAAAGGTTTGTTAGGACAATGTCTTTGGGAACTCCTGCAAAAAAAGTTATCTTCTTATCCAAAGCCAGATTTTATGGCCTGGTGTTAAAAAATTAATCCAGTCTTCATGGTGTGAATTAATCCAGTCTTCATAGGCATGACCTGTCACTCCTTGAGCAAGCAGGCAGCTGCTGTCTGGCTTTATCCCCAGCTCACCTTGTGTGTTTGTACTTCACCATGGGAAAGGGAAAATACAGCCCTGAGGGAAATCATTTCCACAGGGCTTGAGCTGAGCAGCCATGGGTGATACAGAAACATGGTGCTTTTGCGTTCTGGTATGGCCAGAAATGACGTTCACATTGCCTGAAACCAGCCACAAAAAGTGGAGTTACTGGAGTTCAGAGGAAGAAATGAAAACTTGGGCTTCAGCACTGTTTGAGACAGTAGAGAAAGCAACTCCTCTTCAATAAGTGTCTTAAAAGGCTCAAATCACAGAAATGGAAAGATGTTCAGCTTCTGTGACCACCAGCCCATACACATGGATATCAAGTGCCTCCATGATTATAACTTATCTAGAGGGTTCCTCATAAACACCACAGAGGTGCTGTTGGTTAAGGCTTGGGACTGTGAGCAGGCAGTGTGAGCTCAGCCTCAGCCCCCAGCACAGGGGAGACGTGCAGGTCTGCTCCCTGCTGCTCAAAGGAAGAGCAAGTCCTGTCCCTGGAGGTTGAATCCAGGGTTGGAGATGCCTCTAGCATCATCTGGGCATATTCCACCTCTGTGAGTCTCTCAGAGTAGTTTTGTGACTTCCTCCCCTTTCCCTTTGCAGAGGAGCAGTTCTCATCTGGTGCTTTGTCTCCCTCCTTCTGTTTCATTGCAGCATCCGCGAGCGGTTCCGTAGGGAACAGCGCGATCCCGGAGAAGGAGCGGCAGAACATTGCCGAGAGGCTCCTGAGGGTGATGTGCACTGACCTGGGGGCTCTGAGCGTGGTGAGCGGGAAGGAGTTCATCAAGCTAGCCCAGACCCTGGTGGACAGTGGAGCTCGTTATGGTGCCTTCTCTGTCACCGAAATCCTGGGCAATTTCAACACACTGGCTCTGAAGCACCTGCCTCGGATGTACAACCAGGTGAAGGTGAAGGTCACCTGCGCCCTGGGCAGCAACGCCTGCCTGGGCATCGGGGTGACCTGCCACTCGCAGAGCATCGGCCCCGATTCTTGCTACATCTTGACAGCTTATCAGGTGGAAGGCAACCACATCAAGAGTTATGTCCTGGGAATTAAGGGCGTAGACATTCGGGATAATGGTGATTTTATCCACCACTGGGTACAGAATGTGCTCTCGGAGTTTGTGATGTCAGAGATCAGGACGGTGTACGTCACGGACTGCAAGGTCAACTCCTCTGCCTTCTCCAAGGCAGGCATGTGCTTGCGCTGCTCGGCCTGTGCCTTGAACTCGGTGGTGCAGAGTGTGCTGAACAAGCGAACGCTACAGGCTCGCAATATGCACGAGGTGATCGAGCTCCTGAATGTCTGTGAAGATCTGGCAGGATCCACGGGCCTCTCGAAGGAGACCTTTGGCTCCCTGGAAGAGACCTCTCCCCCGCCCTGCTGGAACTCAGTCACTGACTCCCTCCTGCTCGTCCACGAGCGCTACGAGCAGATCTGCGAGTTCTACAGCAGGGCCAAGAAGATGAACCTCATCCAAAACCTGAACAAACACCTGCTCAGCAACCTGGCGGCCATTCTGGCCCCGGTGAAACAGGCAGTGATTGAGCTGAGCAACGAGAGCCGGCCCACCTTGCAGCTGGTGCTGCCCACCTACGTCAAACTGGAGAAACTGTTCACGTCCAAAGCTAACGATGCTGGCGTAGTCAGCAAACTCTGCCACCTCTTCTTGGAGGCACTGAAGGAGAACTTCAAAGTTCATTCGGCACACAAGGTAGCCATGATCTTAGACCCTCAGCAGAAGCTGCGGCCCGTCCCACCGTACCAGCACGAAGAGATCATTGGCAAAGTCTGTGAGTTGATCAATGAGGTGAAAGAGTCCTGGGCAGAAGAAACAGAATTTGAACCTTCAACCAAGAAGCCTCGGACAGCAGGGGAAGCCACAGCAGCTCAGGAAGAAGATTGGTTCGGGAAAAATGAAGTCTACGATTATTTGCAAGAACCTCTCTTCCAGGCCACCCCTGACCTGTTTCAGTACTGGTCGTGTGTTACCCAAAAGCATACAAAACTAGCCAAGCTAGCCTTTTGGCTCTTAGCAGTGCCTGCTGTTGGTGCCAGAAGCGAGTGTGTAAATATGTGTGAGCAGGCTCTCTTAATCAAAAGGAGACGGCTACTCAGTCCAGAAGACATGAACAAACTCATGTTTTTGAAGTCCAACATGCTTTAAGACTGTCTGTTAATTAAAATAATACTTTAAAACACTGTTCCAAACAAAGAAAAAGAATTTTAAGTTCTAAACACTGTGGACCTCATGATGAATGCCCCTGGAAACCAAGTGCTTTTTTATATATATATAAAAATATAAATATATCTAAAATTAAGTTTGAAAGGAAAGCTGAGCACGTGAGAGAGACAGCCCTCTGCCAGGAACGTGCTCCTTTCCATAGATAGTGTGTGGACTTGACAGACTTTCTAATGTTTTCAAGTGGGCAGGCCAATGGGAGGCTGATGTTCTAAAGTCTTCAGGCAGCTGAGATCTAAAGTGACTTGAAGTTTCTTTTGTTTCTCCTCCACCCCACCTCTCCTCTTGTCCCCTGGGCCATCTTGCCATGGATAATCAGACTACATTGAATAGACCAATTCTGCACTGAACTTTGCTCCTCTGAATGACTGTACACCTTGAGGGCATTTGTCTGCAGCCTTCTTGACACAGGGTGCCTGTTCCCAGGGCAGCTGTGTTTTATGAACACCAGTATCTTTAGAAATCAGGAAGGGAGACTTTAAGGGGTTTATTCTGTTTTATTTTTGACTTTGTCATAAATGTGTTTTTTTTCAAAAAAACAGAAGTTACTCTTCTGTCTCCACTCCCAGTTTTGAGTTCAACATGGTAGCTAGTGATTATAAGTTTGCTTTAAAACTCAGATAAATGGTTCATGACAGAAAATGTCTGTAATTGTTACATTTCTTGGTTTTTGGGTTTTTTTACACGTAACCTATTTTGTGAATTCCCAGTGTTAATTAGCTCCTCTGTGAGTTTTGGACATCAGGAGTTCTCTAGAGTAGCCCATTTGGGATTAAATAATATCCTTCTGGGAACCCCAGCAGTTGCTTTCATGGAAAATGCTAAAAACCAGGAAAAACAAGCGAGGGCAGCACAGATCGCTGTGGGTCACCAGCAGGATTGCCAGGGTCTGCCAGCTGCCACTGAGGACTCTTGTACCTAAATTTTTGTAACAAAGTTTCTCAGTGCACACACTCAAAACAACCCTCACAAGGCCAAGGACAAACCAAGGTGTATGGTTTTTCAGTGGAACAAAGATGAGCAGTTTTGTCAAACTGAGGTTTGAAGGAAGCTTAGAGAAGTGCATGGGCTCAAAGATCCTTCTGAATGTAAGTGCTCCTGAATGAGTGCAAAGAATATCTTCCCATTTTATTTGGAATGGTTTCCTCTAGTAGCACGAATGTCTTTTTAATACCTACAGTGCATTACACTACTTGTTATGTTGCTGAATCCTTCTGGCTAGGGAGGCCACGCGCCCCAAGACGTTCACAGGTACCAACTGCAATTAGAGATCATCATAATGCAAAAAACATCTCAGTCACTCTGATGTCCACCACAACAGTGCTCTGCTATGTCCAGTGCCAGTAGGCACAGTCCATGGGCTGCTGGATGGGATCTCTGCAGGCTGCACATTTGGTGCCTCTTGGACAATTCCCTGCTTCTGGTGCCGAACTGCTCATTTTTCATCACTGGGACTTGTATCCCACAGCCAAATCGAAGCAAGTTCTGATTTTTGAAGTCTCTCCTGCTTCCAGTGATGCGCTCTGGAGCTGTGGCAGCAGAGCAGTGTTGGAGGCTGGGGAGGATGGACTGGCTGGGGCCAGGCAGGCCCGAGGCTGGAGCCCTTTGGTAGCACAGGGTGTGCTGGGGTTGCTGGCCATGCAGGGTGAGGCTGGGGCCTCTCTGCAGAGCTACAGATGTTGAACCAAGATCCTTCCTGCCCATCCCTGGTCGTAAGAGAAGTTGCAAGTTTTGAGGCATGAGAAATGGCAAAGCCAGTCCCAGTCTCTCAGGCTTTGTCTGCAGATGCCTTGAACCTGACAGGCACTGCTTCACTGCCCTGGGGCTCAGCCAGGGGCACAGTTTCCAGGCAAGACCTTCCCTAGGTCAAGGTCACTCCAGGCAGCTCTTTGCACCCAGCTGTCTTGCTCTTCTCAGCCTGCAAACAGGACCTGCTGTTATCTTGGGTCTACCTTTTGGGTTGACCTCTTGAGTACTGTTACCAGCATCAGGGCAAAACCAGTTGTCTCCTAAAAGTAATTTTTGCCTATGGATATCTTAAAAGACACGATCTGCAACCCCACTGGCAGCTGCAGGGGTAGCAGCACTTGCAGATGACTTGCCAAGGCAGAGGCACTTGGAGATCTGATTTCTCTGGCAGTGGCTTTTGCAAATGGAGGTGTTGGTTGTAGGGCCAACTTTTCTTCTTGCTGCTTTTATTCTCTCTCATACAAAACCTGCCTGCCCCAACCACCACCTGGGCCCATGGTAGCACATCTGCTTTGCACTCGCAGTCCAGCAGAAACCTGCAACAAACAGTAACTAAGTCTCAGACTACAAACAAAACACCCAAGTGAGATGTACACGGATTACAAAGCATTTGTGCTGTGCTTCTGTTCCCCCTGAAGAGCACAAGGTTTCCTGCAGGTGGAGGATTAATCCAAAGCAAGATTAGTTTTTGAGGCTGCAGAGTGTGTACTGTGCAGCTCAGGTGATGGGCAGGACTGGAGACAGGATTTGTAGTTCTTTCTCCTAATGCTGTGTTATACTTTTTTGCTTTGTTCACTTGAGACCCTGGGTGTTGTTCCCGGGCTCTTCAACACTCAGGGGAATGTGCAAACTCCTCATGTTCCTTTGAAAAGAAAGCTCCAAACCCCAACACTCCTTTGCTAAGGGGCAGGCTGGTGACTTCTGTGGGATTTGCCAGCTGATTGTGCTGTCTGTCTGCAAGGCATTAAGGGTGCAGAAGGGGACAGAGCACAGGTTTAAAGCTCTGGAGTTGAGTAATAGGTGAAATTGTAGTCATTTGTGCAGCCATTTGATGCCAGGCTGCCCAGCAGTGAGCTGGGCCATGGCTGCAGAGCCAGGGCACGCAAACAAGAAAAGCCACAGCCCCTCTATAGTTCCCAGCTCATCTCCCCTCCCACTTTTTACAGTGTGGTTTTGGCATCAGATCTGGAGCTTTCTTGCTGTGACAACCAACGAGAGGAGCTGACTTCACCCTCTCCCCATCCAAGTGACTGTCCCCTCCAAGGCAACTTTGGTTAGGGTTGCACTAATGATGGATGTTAAGCAAACATGTTGTCTGGTAGGTGAAATTTTCCCAAAGGCATAAAACCTCAACTTAGCTGAAAAAAAAAGCAAAATAAAACCTAAAACCCTGAAATGGAGCAATCTGGAAAGTTGCTGATTGGGCAGCCCCCTTCTCCAAGGAGTCAGTGAAGAAGCTGCAGCTTTTCATGAGACTTAAACAAGGGCACAAGGTGTTCTGCTCAGAGGAGCTGTTCGTGCTGTGTCTGATCACAGGCTTTTGTCTGATGCACTTATTTTATTCCTCATGAAAAGGAGAGAAGCACATCTGGAGCACCTGTCTTTACCCTAAATGCCAACCTTTTGCTTCTGTTTATTCTTCCCTCTTCAAGATTTGGATTTGCATTCTAGGGAGCACAGATTCTTTACCAAGGTCTGAATTTTGAAAGTTCTATTTCTCCAGGTTACTCCAACCCAAATTTTTCTATGATTCTGTGGTGTGGAGCAGCACTAAGGAACACTGCCCATCCTGTGGTGGACAACCAGAGAGGAGGTCTCTTAATTTGGCTAGAGCTGTCCTGAGTTTCTGTTCCCTCTTAGCTGGGAGGAGAAGTCCCCAAAAAAGGGATCATCCTTCAGTAGATCCTGTTGGAAATTTGCCTTCTGATTGTTTTTTTTCCTTTACTTGCACTTGAGAAATGGGTTGGGATACAAAAATGGTGTATGTGTCCTCCTGGCATTCATTTGTTTCTGCTGCTTACTCTGTGCCTGACCTTGCAGACTTCTCTCTCTGACCTCACCGTTTGCTTTGGGAGGAGTTATGATCTCAGGTGGTGAGCAAGCACCAACAGAAAATGAACTGTAAAAATGAAGGGCCTTCCAGTCCTGTCTAAAGATCCTTGTTACTAGACAACTGAGATAGTGCAATACCAGGGCAGAGCTCTTCAAAACAGATGGTTGTTTCTGTGTGAGTAGGGCAGCCAGAGGGTCAGTGGAGAACATGGAGCCCAGATTTGTCTCCTGTGTCTCCTCTCCCCATGTCTCTAGCAGCAGACATTGGTTGTGTTCTGGTTTGTGAGGTGTTTCTGTATCTTGCACCTGGGTTGTTTTCAGATGGAAGTAAACTTCTCTTTGTCAAAGCTGTGCGTCTTTTCTAAGAAAACTGAGTTGGTTGTGTTTGAACTAGTGCAATCTGAAAAACTTCCTGTGAAAGCCAACTGTGGGCTCAGGTTTTGTCTAATTCAGTTGTCTGTTAATTGCTGGCTAAACCAGTTTAACTTTGAGATAAATTGGTTTAAGCATCCACATGAACCACCTGCACTGGTTTAACTGCGCTTGCTGGATGTTCTCTCCTGCTGAGCAGAGAACACATCCAGAAGCAGCTCAGGGAGTCATGACCCTTCCATGAATTTTGCAAACAAAGTTGTGGCAGATAATCTCAAAGCTCGGGAAGGACTGAAAATAGAGAGGTGGGCACTTCTGAAAATGGCTTGAGCTCTGACTTGTGGGATCCGGGTTAACAGAGTGTTCAGTGAGGTGTCTCAGGCTGGTTGGTTACCCTTTCTCCAACTGCTTGCAGTAACATGGGACATTTAGTGTGAGAAGAAATTCCTGTGTATGTTTGTGTTGGTGGATGAGTCCACTCAGCTCTACCAGCCTAAGGGACCATTCCCATTTTCTGGATCCCACCCTGAGCAAGCCAGGACCTAGTGTTGCACAAGGTGTCCAAGACACTGTGCTGTTTGGAGAATGCTGTGGACACTTCTGGGCAGCACCAAGCTACTGATCAATCAAAAGACAGTAAAAGTGCAGCCAAAAGGTATTGAAAGACTGGGAGTGTGGCTTTGGGCTGAGGAGAAAGGCAGGTCTCTGATTGCATCTCTCTGGCTGAAGGAGGTGGAGGGGAACTCCTGTGAGCTTTCAGAGGGAGCACACAGGAGGGGACAGGTTGTTCCCAATGGAATAATTAGGAACAATGGGATAAAAATTATCAAAAAGACACTAAAGGCAGATTCTGGGAAAACTTTCCAGGGAGGAGAAATCCTTTCATCTGGGAGGAGTCTGTTACAGGAATGTTTTTGAGCCCTGTGGTTCCAAACAAGGCTGCACAACTCTATGGAGCACACTCCATAAGGCACAAGGCTGCTTGGGACCTTGCCAAGAGAAAAGGGACTGGGTGTGGAGACCAGTCCTGCCCAGTAGGTCCAGCAGGGTTCACAGAGCATCTTCCTCTGCATCTTCCCACTCACCACGGGCACCAAACCCTTCCCAGCACTCCAGTATATGCATTAACCAGGTTTCATAAAGGAGGGAGGTGGCTGAGTGGCAGAAGGGGCAGAGGAGATAACGGCAGTTGAGGAGCACGTGTCTTGTCAACCTGTGTTCTGCCAAAGTGAAAGAATCAGTGTGAGGGAGAGTATGATATTACTTGCTGCTGGTGCTGTGCA